GATCTTGGGGTTGTGAGTTTGAGCCCTGTGTTGAATGTAGAGAGTACTTAAAAATAAAAACATAAAAAATAAATTTAAGGGACACCTGGGTGACTCAGTCGGATAGGCATCCGACTTCGGCTCAGGTCATGATCTCACAGTTCATGGGTTTGAGCCCCGTGATGCGCGCTGTGCTGACAGCTCAGAGCCTGGAGCCTGCTTCAGATTCAGTGTCTTCCTCTCTCTCTGACCCTCCCCTGCTCACACTGTCTCTCTCTCTCTCTCTCAGAAATAAATTAAAAAATGTTAAAATAAATAAATAAATTTAAAAGTCTGTAAAAAATAAAACAAGGCTGAGAAATTAACGAACAAAAAAGAAATTAACAAACACTGTATTTCATAATCCCATTTCATATATAATCTTATTATATATAACCTATATTTAGTTATTATTTGGTATATATAATTTATATATTTTAAATATATTTCAATATATTTGTGCATATATAATCATGCGTATTTAGCAGGGATCACGGATTAAGGAGAGACTTCCTTTTCTCTTCAACATGTGAATTCTTTACAATGAGCCTGTATTGTTAGAATAACGGTTGAGGTTTTTCTTAGGAGGTTAGAGGTTTTTCTTTAAATAGCTCTCTAAAAATACTGAACCTGTTTCCACTCACTTGGGCAAGTGGCCCTTGTACTCAACGTGTGGTTCTTAGACCAGCAACAGAAGAATCACCTGGAAAGTTAGAAACGCAGGTTCTCAAATCCCACCCCACGCCTGCTGAATTAGAGGTCCACAGTGATGGTATGCACTTTAAAGTCTGAGAAGTTCTGCAGGAGAAAAGACCGCTTCCTTTCTCTGGGCCTGTTTCTTGCCTACTCTAAGGGGCTGTAATCGAGGTGTCTCTATGGTCCCTTCCAGTTGCAATTTTTCTAAGCTCATTTCTTACCATTATTTGCGTGAGTCACTATAAAAAGGCAGCTGAAGAGACCAAAGGATAAGAGAAGCCTGGCTGCAAAGCTCCCGCCGCCCACAGGCAGACACAGGTGGGCACTGAAGCAGCTTCCTGATCCAGGTCAGAAGGGAGCCCTGGGTACAATGTTGTCTGGGATTTCTCCTGGTACAGGGGCGGAAGGGTGTCCAATTGGACCAGAGAGGAAGGTGTCGGGCAGTAACAGGGCGACAGGAGGCGCTGTGAGGTGCTGGTGGAAGGTGGCGCACAGATTCAGGGGGAATGCAGGGTGCTGGGTGGCCTCGGGGAGGCGGCAGGCACTGCACCTTGTCACACACAGCAAGGCACCTTGCAGGACGCACCCGGGCGGTGCAGAGCTGCCTCAGGGAGGCAGGGGGCGCTGCGGAGTCGTGGCCCGCTCGTCCCGGGCTGCCAGGGAACACACCTGGGCAGGTGGGGGCGGCCCCGAGGGGGGCGGGGTTCCAGGGGCGGGGCCCAGGTACGGCCCACAAGAGCCAGAGGCGGCTGCGGCTGCGGGATGCTCTCGCTGTACGGGGAGCAGGACAGAGCGCACCGGATCGCGCACACCCGAGCCCCAGACTCTTCGGAACTGAGCGAGGTGAGCCCAGCAGGTCGGGTCGCACTAGCTTGGGAGTTTCGGGTACCGGAGCGGCCGCGAGGCCGAGTGGCTTCTCGGACACCGTCCTCGCGGTCGGTGCTGGCATCAGCCCGGGGCTGCCTCCCGGTGGCTGGGATGCTGGGACACCTTCCCAGGTCAATCCGGGTCCAGCCAGATCTCTGGCATCTGCCCACGCCGTGGCCCGGGACGCAGAGCTGGGGCGACAGGCGTTTCTGGGCTATTCAGTGTCCGGGACTCTGGGGGTCCAGGGCAGTGCCTCGCCTCGTCTCCCCGCCCAGGATCTGTTCAGGCCTTGGTGAGACTTGACCGCGATTGTTCCTTTCACCCGCTGGAATGTTTTCTCTGGGGTGACTGGGGTTGCAGAAAGAAGCAAACACTTGAATCGGGGTGGTTGGATTCTCTCTGGCGGCTTCAGCAGACATGACTTCTGCCACAGCACAGCGTGCGATCGCTCTGTGCCAGGGTTGGCAGGGGCTGTCAGGTCGCCCGGGAGGAGTTCGAGCCCCACTCCCAGAGCCTGAGGCTTAGGGTCCCTTTCTCTGGCATGGGGGATAGGCAAGCTCAGGGGTGGTGGGGTGCAGTAGAGAATCGCTGCCATGAGCAGCCCTGGAATTTGAACAACTCCTTTGAATGCTTGCTATCTGTGTGGTCTTGGGCAAGTTATCTAATCACTCTGCACCTCAGTTTCCCTCTCTGTGAAATGGGGACTGTACTAATACCTCATCTAATTATAGGGAGTATTAAATAAGGTAATATGTAAAAAGAGCTGAGCAGGATGACGGGGAGTACGAAGGGATCAATAAATGATAGCTGTGATTATTGCTGCTAATGCTACCATTGTCATTATTTATTACTGTTGGCAGAGCAGCACAGCATGAACTTCTGAGTTCAAATCCCAGCTGGGCCACTTTCCAGTGTGACCTTGGACAAACTACTTAACCTCTCAGTGTCTCCATTTCATTTGTGTCATGGGGAAAATGAAGGTCCCTACCTCAGAAATCTGTTGTGGAAATGAAATGAGTTAATACCTGTAAAGTACTTTAAAGAGTGAGTGCTCCATGTCAGCTATGGCTTCTTCCACAAAAGCATCCTGTTTGATCAAGCAGCACAACCCTGCTCCTTTCTGAAGTTGAAACACTCTTTCTGTGCACATTTATCTGTGTTGTGATGAGCCAGATGGGTTCCCTTCTCTCACCTGTGGCTTCACTGACATTGGGGGCTGATCCATTGGAGTCCGGGTCAGTCCTGGAGAAAGAGCTGATGCAGCAGAGAGACCCTAGGGGTTGTTGTCAGCGAGAAGAAGGAGAATTCAAAATAGGGATGTCCAGAATCTGCGATTCTGCACATTCACAGAGGAGAAAACCTTCCTTGTGTGGCCGTTTTCTTTGACAGGAAATTAAACCTGGACCCAGATTTTTAAACAAACTCTTGCTAAGTTTTTTGCTCTTGAACTGTAGTGAGAGAAGAGGTGAGGATGGGAAATACTTTAAATGATAAAACAAAATACATTACTTCCCTCTTGCCAAGAGACTAACAGGATAATCTTGAAGGTCGAGGTTTTCTCCATCCTGGTAAGGTCATATGTGTCTGTAGGGGGTGAAGATTGGAGGGAGGTGGCTGCCTCTGGATATCTCACTTGCACCCCCCAGCACTCTTATTTTTTTACATCATAAACCTGAAACCCACTAGCATCATAAACTTGAAAGCCTCCCAGCTTTGCCTCAACTTCCAATTTTAATTTTTTTAAATGTTTTACTTATTTCTGAGAGAGAGAGAGAGAGAGAGAGAGAGAGAGAGAGAGAGACAGCGTGAGCAGGGGAGGGTCCGAGAGAAAGGGAGACACTGAATCTGAAGCAGCCTCCAGGCTCTGAGCTGGCTGTCAGCACAGAGCCCGATGCGGGGCTCGAACCCACAAACCATGAGATCATGACCTGAGCTGAAGTGGACGCTTAACCAACTGAGCCACCCAGGCTCCCCTCAACTTCCAGTTTTAGACAGTATCCCATGGGGGTCAGGGTGGACATAACTCCTGAAGTCCAGAATCCTGCCTGAAGAACTTGATGGGACGAACTAAAGCCCTTGTCCCAGACACAGGCCCTCTGGGGGGTTGGGGACCAACTTGCATATCCAAGTTAAGGTATACCCTACTTTGCCTCTGTCACCAATGGCAGGCATAGAAGGCATAGAGTTTCCTGGGGAAATAGCACAGGATCCGTCTCTTTCCTTCTTCTTTGGGGAGGGGAAAGCACCCAGCGCAATACCAGGCCCCTCAAAAGCCTATACCATGGTGGTAAAGGCTGCAAGGTACCAATCCAGTCCTTCCACTTACTAGCTGTGTGGTCTTGCACAAATGACCCCACCTCTCTGAGCTTATTCTCCTCCTCTATAACATGAAGGTAATAGTAGTGGTTTATTGAAACACAAAATGAAATATATGTGGATTATATGTATATAGAGAGACTATATATGTATATATATGAGACTGATGAAACTTTTTATAACCCTGAGGTGACTCTTCATATATACAATATATAGAATATACAATACACATATATTAGTTCCTTTCTAAAAAGAATGCATCATGTACGCTGATGAATGTGATAATTTGCTTTCCAGCACTCCCCCAAACAAAACTTTTATCTCATCAAAGTGTATTCCCCCAATTAGTGATACCTTAGAACCAAGGAAAGAGGGTACTGTACCTGGCAAATATTAAGTGGCCAACAGTTGTGGGCTACTGTTTATAAGGTTCTCTAGAAACAACAAATGCTTGACTGTAAGAGAAGAAGTTAAATAGAAGTGAAACAGAAACCCCACTTGCAGGGAAAGCGGAGGGGAAAAGCCTGGAAAACGTGGCTAAGAGTGGACGGAACAGGATCTAAGTTGACTGCCGAGAAATTCTCTTGGCAGATTGCATCTGTCAGAAAAGACTTGCGGTGTGTTTGCTCAGTGCCAGACACTAAGCTAGGCACGAGGGGGTCAGTGAGATAGGAATACTGCCCTCCAGAGGGCCAGGTGGGAGGAAGCGATAAGGCGCAGGTGGCCGTATTCTAAATAAGGCAGAGCAAGATAAGAGACGTGTAGAGGCTGAGGTGTGGAGGGCTCCTGCTTCAGGCACCCAGGGGAAAGGTCCTTCAAACCAGTGATTTGTGGGTTAAACCCCACCCAGCCCCTACACAGCTGGGCAGCCTGGGGGCTGCATGAGGAGAAAGCAGCCCTTGGGCAGCTGCAGTGGCCAAAAAACCAAATATCCTGGAGAAAGGGGCTGGGACCTTAGAATGCAGACTGTCCAGCCTGCACAGGGAAAGAGAAAGGCGGCCTCTGAGGGCATATGGGCTGGTGTTTCCCCAGAGTCTGGCCTGTCCCTGGAGGCCAGGGAGCGTGAGGTCACCCACTTTTCTTCTCTGCTCCTCCAGCTTGCCTGGCCCTCCAAGTCCCATCCTCGCCATGGCTCCCGGAGAGAAGATCAAAGCCAAAATCAAGAAGAATCTGCCCGTGACGGGGCCCCAGGCGCCTACCATCAAAGAGCTGATGCGGTGGTACTGCCTCAACACCAACACCCATGGCTGCCGCCGCATCGTGGTGTCCCGCGGCCGCCTGCGGCGCCTGCTCTGGGTTCTCTTCACGCTGACGGCCGTGGCCCTTATTTTCTGGCAATGTGCCCTCCTCATCTCCTCCTTCTACACCGTCTCTGTCTCCATCAAGGTCCACTTCCAGAAGCTGGATTTTCCTGCCGTCACCATCTGCAACATCAACCCTTACAAGTAAGAGCCAGGAGCAGGGATATGGAGTGGCCCCCCTCCCCCTCCAGAGTCCGGGGCCCCACTCAAAGACCGACACACGCCAGCCCATAGGGAGGATTTTTAGAAATCTGAATTTGCTGCCAACATTGGTAAACTCCCTCCCCCAGGTTCTAAATCTGTCCCAAGTTGTCAATCTATCAGCTGCTTCTGAGGCTGGAGGAGCTCAGGCCATGCAGGGGCGGGAGTTGGCAAGGGTCAGTTTCACCGGGGAGGTGGGGCCTGGAATGTGTTCACACCACCTCCCACCCCAGGCACGTGTGAATGCACACACGCACACATGCACACATGCACAGACAGCCTAGCTTAGCCATTCCCCCCCTCCCCAGCCCTCTAAACTCACACCCTTGCTGTCCCCGAAACATGAGCTGGAGGCTGACTCAGACGTGACACCCAGGTGACTTCCAGAAGCATCTCAGCTGCCCCAAACCCTCAGCTGAGTGAACCCAGCCCCACTAATTGAGATCACTGGGCTCTGGGCAGGATCAGCCCTCGGTACTGCCCTATTGTCTGCTACAGGGCCTGTTCTAAATGGGTCACTGGAGTTGTGCTCAGGATTATTGAAAACTGATCTGTGAGGCAGGTCAGAATCTGGCAGAATTCGTCTGAGCAGGTGTGGGCGTGGGGAGAAGGGAGGAGCAGGGGAGGAAGAGTGTCAAAGGAAACTGGTCAAAATCAAAATCAGGCCTAAGCCTCATTCTCCACCTCAGAGTCTTTTTTGTCCCCCCCCCCTTTCTTCCATCTATCACTTGTGCCATAATCATTTACTCAGTGTCTACAAGCTGGCATGCACTGTGCTAGAGTCTGGGGCATAGAACTGAACAGCCCAACACAGAACTGGTCCTAGTAGAGTTGAGTTATAGTGGAGGAGTGAAATATTAGCAAATATAATCACACTAATAAAATTAATAGTGACTGTTTACACACACATGATAAACTCACCGAATCTTTCTGGTGATCTCATTTTACAGATGAGAAAACTGAGACACAAAAGATGGGAACGGGACCTGAGGTAGTTTGACTCTGGAGTTTATACACTCAATCATGATGCTGTGTCGTCTATGCGGGGAGCAAGGGGCAGAGAGAGGAGAGAGGAGGGCAGTTGGGAGAGAAGCCACGACTACTTGGTATTATGGAGATTTGAAGATGAGACTGTGCTTCATGTGGTCAATTCATGTATCAATCTTCTGCGTTCCTGGGGGTTATCGAGGAGGCAGTCATAACGTTTCTGTCCCAGGACTGACTGCAGGGGAAGCAGTGTGCAGGGGCAACTGTGCTGGGTAGAGATGGAGCTGGTCCCCTGGACCCACTTCCAGTTAGCAGTTATTGTCTTCACTGTAATTTTCCTCACCGTGGCTGGTTTATGGGAGGTACCTGACAGTCACCACTCCAGAAATGCTGGTTGGGGCAAACTTACCAACACACCCCAAGAGCAGGCAGATGGTGGTGTCAGAAATGAAGCCATGAGAAGTCATACAAGGGTCACATGGGAGCCTGTCACCATTTATTCAAACTGATAATCACTTTGGATGGGGCAAATCATGAAAGGAGGTGGGGGAGAAGTGGGCCCGAGGCTGACACACACTAATGGAAAGCAGAGGGAAGAAGTATGAGCTCTCTGTCAGGGGAGCTTCCCCTCTCCCTGACTCCTCTTTCCCCATTTGGCAGGTACAGTGCAGTGCGGGACCTTCTAGCCGACTTGGAACAGGAGACCAGAATGGCCTTGAAGAACCTGTATGGCTTTCCAGAGAATAAGTCTCGAAAACGCCGAGAGGCAGAGTCTTGGACCTCGGCTTGGGAGGGCACACGTCCCAAATTCCTCAAACTGGTCCCACTGCTGGCTTTCAGTCAGGATGAGACCAACAAGGCCAGGGACTTCCTCACAGGGCGGAAGAGGAAAGTCAGTGGGAGCATCATTCACAAGGCATCAGATGTCATGCATGTCCACGAGTCCAAGGAGGTGGTGGGATTCCGACTGGTGAGATGCGTGTCCTCACAGCTGGGGTCACGGATGGGCTAGAGATGGTGGGTCCAGGATGGTTTCTCCTTAGCCACTGTCCCTATGGTCCCACTCAAAGAAATACACCCAGTTAAGGGTGAAGATTCTGCAAGCAACTAAAACTGATTCAGGCAATATATTAAGCAGAAAAAAACAAACAAACCAAAAAACAAAAAGCCTTGCCTTAGAAAGGAACCAGAAGCTCATGGAGACCTGTCAAAGGACAGAAATTAGGGAAGGTCAGGGATCTAGGTGGCAAGAAATGGTGAAAAGTCATTTCAGATATGGCTGCTAGATTCAATAGGCTTTTACTATTTTCAGGCTTTTTGTTAATCCATCCAGAAGGACAAATTCAGATCCCATCTTGGGACTATCTGATGGGCCACGTTTGGATCGGGTCACCTAACAAAGGGTGAGGCGTCATGATGGACAGTCTCATCAGACTCTATCCAACAGGGGAAAAGACGTTCCACCAAACCAAAATTAGGGTACAGACACCAGAAGGAAGAAAATAGATAATAAGCAGCAGAAACACCCAATGTTCTCTGCAGTACTTGCCTTTGTGAGGTGCTGTGGTCTGACTTTTCATCTCTCCTTCTTCATCCCATTTAAGGGGCTCTAAAGAAGGAGCCAGTCACCAAAATTGAATTCCAATAGTGTCCTGGGTTAAGGCAATCAATCACCTTACCTCTCCATGCCCCAGACATCGCTGTAGGATGAGACATCTCTTCTATACATTATACTTGGCTTGCCAATTGTGAGACCTTGGAGCGCCAGTTACAAATCCTGAAGAAATGGCCCTGTCCCTTAATCATGGAGACTCTTCAAAGTCTTCCTGGGTCTTTTATGAGATACTCTCTTGGCTATCCTTGAGAGCAAAATCTATCCTTCAATGTCTGTCCTTTTGAGAGAGATTCCAAACCCTGTGTGATAAAAACATCTGGAACATGGACTCTGTGCTGACAGCTCAGAGCCTGGAGCCTGTTTCAGATTCTCTATCTCCCTCTCTCTCTGACCCTCCCCTGCTCACGCTATCTCTCTCTCTCTCTCTCTCTCCCTCTCTCTCTCTCTCAGAAATAAATAAAAACATTAAAAATTAAAAAAAAAACACCTGGAGCGTACTATAATCTCCCTCTAAGGCTCACGTTATTACATATTTTCCCAACTAAGGATGGCATTTTGGTCAACATTTGGTGGGTGAAATAATGGAGATGTCATGTCTTGCTCAAGATTCCGCTGAAATATACTGAAGTCTGGATGAGCATCCAGATTTCTAGACTGCTGATCCAGTAGAAAATGGCTAGAGGTGGGTAGGAAGTCAGTAGCAATAATAAACCAAAGCCTGGATATCTGGAGACCCTATAGAAGCTGATTTTTCTTCTTACCTGGTAAGCAGTCACAGGGAGCCATGACAGTGGGACTCTGTGTCCTCTCAGCCCCTTCCTGGCCCCTGAGGCTGATCTCTCTCAACCCTTGGAAGTAAGCGGAAGCCTATCCTTGCTTCATGTGTCCCTCCTGTTCTTCTGAGTGTGTGGTCTAGAGTCTCATGTCCTCATCCTTACTGTGCTTCTCAAGGCCAGTGTTAGTGCCAGTGGCTTCAGCCTACTGTCTCCTCTTATTCACAGTGTTCAAATGACACATCCAAATGTGCCGTCTACACCTTCAGCTCGGGGGTCAATGCCATCCAGGAGTGGTATAAGCTGCACTACATGAACATCATGGCACAGGTCCCTCTGGAGAAGAAAATCAACATGAGCTACTCTGCTGAGGAGCTGCTGGTCACCTGCTTCTTTGATGGCGTGTCCTGTGATGCCAGGTCAGGAAAGGAAGCTGCCCTCTTAGCTCTGAAGACCAGTGGCTCTGAGCCCCTAGCCCCTACCCTGCACCTGCAGCTCGGCTACGGGGCTTGGGAGTGAAAGATGCTCTTCTCATTGACCCTGCCCTTTGGAAAACAACTTACATGGGATCTAGGCTCTAGAGTCACTGAGGAAGATAGAGATGGCATAGAGTCAAAATATCTTTGAACTCATTAAGTTACTCATAAAAACAGAGTGGTTGATGGTATATGTATAGCCTTGTATGCTACCAGCATGCACACCAATGATTGAGAACTACTGATCAAGCACAGAGGAAGAAATGAGGGAAGGGAAGGTGGGAAAGAAAGAGGAAGAAAGATCTTATATACAGATGGGTGAGCTCTCAAACGTTTCTGTCTTTAAGATAACACTCAGATCCCTGGCGGTGACTGAGCAGTGATGGGACATTCTAGAGTGTTCCTGCCTATCCAAAAGCCTTACTGGATACAAAAGCCTTCGTTTTTTTAAACACTAAGCCTTTCTATATGTTAGTAGATATATTGGTCTTTATGAAACTGAGTGATTGGAATCATATCTGCCTGAGGTTGGGTTCTAAAGTCAGTGTAAGGACACATCTGATGTGTCCTTGGGGTCCCTCCATGGAGGGTTCCTTCTCTGGGGATCATTTCCTGGTGTTGGAATGAAAAATGTCAACTGTTGGCTGAGAAATTCACGAGTAGAGGAATCTGGGGCAGACATAGGGCACAGGGAGAGCCACATCAGGATGGAGACAGAGCTGGGAGGATTAAGATGGGGAGCAAAGCAGAGAATAGTCCTACATCAACGTGTGTCACCCTGGGTGAGGGGCTCTGTTTGTGGTTTATCAGACGGAAGGTGGAGAAATTAAGTCATGTCTATTAACCAGTGTCCACAAAAGAGAGTTGACCCCACAAGCCCTTCCCATCCAGCCTTTAGCTCAGATGCATGAGGGGAGTTCCCACCAAAGCTCTTTCTGACCCATATTCTTCTTCATAGAAACTTCACGCTTTTCCACCACCCAATGTATGGGAATTGCTACACATTCAACAACAGAGAAAATGAGACTATCCTCAGCACCTCCATGGGGGGCAGTGAGTACGGTAAGGAAATCTGCATGAACAGTGAGCATCCTGACAGGAGAACAGTGGGGTGCCTGAGCATTCCAGAAATGTGGGGTCCCTCCACCTGGCCAGAAACCAGGACTCCCCTTCCCCTTTTGCTGTGCTGTTTCTATCAGCTTCCATGTTGGCTCTTCCTTTTTTTTGGTGTCTGTTTTCCTTTTTAATGTCTCCTCTTTACTTTTGAGAGAACAACAGTGATGTCACTGGGGTTTCTTCTCCTGGAAAACCACTCTGGCTCAGGCTTGCAGCTGGAATGAGTAATGCAGGGCAGGCAGCTTTCAGATGGTCTTGAACCCAGATATGCTGACCAGGAGATTAGGGAGGCAAACATACCTTTATCTTGGTTAAGATAACAGATTCTGGAGCCAAAATTCACGGCTCTGCCACTCACTGTGTGACCCTGTGCAAGTTATTACACTTCATATACACAGTGGGAATCATGACAGTGTCTCTGCTATAGGATTATTGAGAGGACTTTATATATGCAAAGTGCTTAGAATAAATCCTGGCACATGCTGTATTAGTCTGCTCAGGCTGCATAACAAAATAACGCAGACAGAGTAGCCTAAACAACAGACATTTATTTAGTTTCCATTCTGGAATCCAGGGTCAAGATGCTGGCAAACTTGGTTTCTGGTGAGATCTCTCTCCCTGGCTTGCAGTTGGCTGCCTTCCTGTTGTGTCTTCGCCTGATCTTTCCTCTGTGGCAAAGAAAGAGAAAGTGAGAGAGAGAGAGAGACACAGAAAGAGAGAGAGAGAGACAGAAAGAGAGAGAGAGAGAGACAGAGAGAGAGAGAGAGAGAGAGAGGTCTGGTATCTCCTCCTCTTATAAGGACACCAGCCCTATGGGATTGGGGCCCTCCTTATGACTTCATTTAACCTTTATTACCTCCCTAAAGGTCCTATCTCCAATACTGTCACATTATAGAATAGGATTTCAACATATGGATTAGGAGGGGAACACAATTCAGCACTTAACACACATGAAACACACAATAAATATTAGTTGTGTGTTGTCATTACTACTATTGGTACCATTACTACTCCCACCACCACTACCACCAATAGTACTGTTACAACCTCCAGTACTATTACCACTGCTCTTACTGTGGTGACTTTTGTAGGCAAGGCAGGAAACAGATGGGCCTGGGAAAGTCCTAAACAAATTAAACTTAAGTTGATATACAAATATCCTCCCACAAAGAAAGGCAGGAAAACCCCATATGGACTCCTAGACTTTGCTACTGTGTAGTCTGTATTCTTACCAAGTCTGTAAGAAACCGTAATCCAGGGCACATACTTTAGTGGAAAGAAGTAGTCTGGGAACGGGCAGCAAAGAGTTGCAGAGTTCAGGCTCTGCTGCATATGTGCTGTGTGACCTTGAACAAATCACTCGGCTGCCCTGGGCTTCCATCCCTTCATTTACAAATGGAAGAAGTCAGAATGACCTCTCAAAGTTTTCTTCTGTCAATCCATGTAGGCCAGGAGCTCATTTGCTCTGCCATTCACCAAACTTTTATTGAGTGCCTGTTGTATGCTGGGTTCTCTTCCAGGTGTCAGAGACCCTAAGGTGAACAGACACCTTCTCTGCTTCCAGGAAGTTTGAATAATAGTGGGGAGACAGACAACAAATGAATGAACAAGCACATAGACATTATCTGATTATAAATCCGAATGAGGACTATGAGGAAAATAAAATAGTGAAGGGTAAGGGGGTGCTGGGGCCAGAATGGGAGTTTTATTTCAAATAAGGGGCCAGAAAGTCATCCATGGGAAGAGTTCGTTAGAGGTGAGATCTGTATAAGGTCCGCCGAAGAGCATTCAGGGCAATAGCAAGTACAATAAACCCCGTGAAGGAAATGAATTTGATGTGCTCTAGAAGCAGAAAGAAGTCCAGTGTGCTTGGAGCTTCTTGAGAGAGCAGGGAGGGGGATGAGGAGGGAAACACAGGCAGGGCTGCATCATCATAGACATGACAGCCACAGTGAAGTTTACGGATTTTATTCTGTGACATGTCCCATGTATCCAGTGAGATGTTGCTGAAGAGTTTTAGACAAGGGAGTGACCTGATCTGATTTACAATTTTAAAAGATCTCTCTGCCTGCTGGGTGCAGAATTGCTTGCCAGTGTAGGAGGTGAAGTATGGAGAGGAGTTAGAATGGGGATCAGACACTCTATTACTGATTTTCTCTAAGGGCTTAAGCAGCCACAGCACGGCATGTCCATTTGGGTGCTCTGAAAAACCCCCCATCTCAAAGGATCATGTCAAGATGCATGTTTTTGGACTGAGGGGCGCCTGGGTGGCTTAGTCGGTTAAGTGTCCAACTTTCGCTTAGGTCATGATCTCGCGGTTCATGGGTTCAGGCCCTGCGTCGGGCTCTGTGCTGACTGGCAGCTCAGAGCCTGGAGCCTGTTTCAGTCTGTGACTCCCTCTCTCTCTGACCCTCCCCTGCTCACGCTGTCTCTCTCTCTCTCCTGAAAATAAATAAAAACATTAAAAAAAATTTAAAAAAAAGATGCATGTTTTTGGACTGAGTAGCAGTTCCTTTATTGCTCAGCAGGACTGCAGCAGTGACACTGTTTTGGGGGGACACAGCAGTGAGCAAGTCAGGCACCCCCACCTCCCTTCTCCATGAAGCTTCCAGTCTAGCCCTATCTACCTTTCACTTTGTTGGAAATACCTGCATCTTGGTTTTGAGACTCCCAAAGCAGCGGGAGAAGTAGGCTACCAACAGGGAGTGTTGAACGAGCCTTTGACCACAGCAGCCTCTTCTCCTCTCAGGGCTGCAGGTGATCTTGTACATCAATGAAGAGGAGTACAATCCCTTCCTGGTGTCCTCCACTGGGGCGAAGGTGATTGTGCATCGGCAGGATGAGTACCCCTTCATCGAGGACGTGGGAACGGAGATTGAGACGGCAATGGCCACCTCCATAGGCATGCATCTGGTAAGAGAATATTCCGGTTTCTGTAGAGGAATCAAAGGAGAACATCTTTCTTTCTTTCTTTTTTTTTTGCCTCAGAGAAAACCAATAAGGTGCGGCTTGTGAAACAACATGTTAGTTTCAAAAGGAAGCATCGTCTTGTATTTTCTAATAGTTCCTGCAATGATCATTCCAGTAGTTATACTAAAGGCTGTCTTTGTATCTTCTGTGTAGATGAAGGAGGACATAGGATGCCATTTTCAGGAAGAGTTGAAGGAACTTCTTTATGGCAAAAACAGACATTAGCATTTATTTATCGGAACTGTGTGGGAAGCAAAGCATCAGACACTAACTATGTTTGTCATTAGTATAAATAGAGCAGATTAACACCTTTCTTTCTGGGTCACTTAAAGGTCTATGAGACATGTAAACCACTCCTTAAGGACTAATGGGAAATCACTAGGCCATCAAAGCTCTAGTTAACCAATATTTAGCCATCAGTTTCACTTTATTTACCAACAACCCCCCTTTCCCTCAAGTCTTTGACCCTCTCTGACCTCACTGGGTGCCAAGAACACTCAAACTTGTCAACAGAAGCACATCTGGGCTGCAGACTCCAATGCCAAGTAAACCATGCCCAATGGGAGCAGAAGGGCAAGGCAAGGAGTGTGCTCCAATGCCCCCAGCCACTCCACTACTTATGCAGTTTTCTTGTTTGCAGGGCTGGGGTCTTTCTATGCCAGTAAGCTCTCCACCTTTTGTCTTCATTCCTTGTAAATCTGTCCTCCAGAGTAGTGGTATCCAAACCTGATTGATCATCAGACTCAAATTCACTGACTCAGAATCTCTGAAAGATAAGCCCAAGACCTCTGTGTTTACCAAACTCCAGTGATTATTCCAAGAGGCACCAAACTCAGGAACCTCAGCTTTAGGAAGCTGAGTAGTTCAACACGAGAGGAGAAGAAAAGTGTGTCTTCCTAAGTGAGAGTGAAGCTAGAATGACAAAAGCTTTAACACAGCCATAAATGATGGCTTCATCCTGGGTTATCAAGTGATATAGTGGGCACTGGGGCTTGTATATTCATCCATCACTTGTCCATTCAACAAGCATTTTCTGCATGCCTTGACGTGCTGGACACTGGGGCCACATCAGAGTGGAAGGCGATGTCGCTATCCTGTTAGAGCTTAGAGTCCAGCAGAGAGGATCAATAACAAACAAAAAATTGGACAAATGATTAATTATAATCATCATCAGTACTAACAAGGAGAAATGCGGGATGCATGAGAACATATCATGGGGATGGCTTACCTAGGGCTTTGGTTTAATGGGCGGACATGGGGAGTTCAAGGGGTGATTTCTTGGGGAAGCAATATTTAAGTTGAGACAGCCGAGATGATGAACTGGCATGGTGATACTCCAGATGAAATCTGTGGCTTTAGTGCCCCATAAAAGGGAAAATCCTGGGGAAAAAAAAAAAACTGAAAAAACAAAACAAAAAACCCAAAACCTATCAGGATGATTTCCTGGAACCTGAGTGCTCTCAAGAGCCATGTTGTTTAGGGGCTTTGTTCCAACGGGAGAAGTTTGTTCCAACATGAGAAGGGTTGAGTACCAACTCAAACTGTGTGCATACTGATCGCCTCTCCCCTATCCCCAAAAAAATTTCGAGCCCAACCTACAAAACTGTGGCTTGAAAAGACTTGAGGGTATTCCTTAAGAGTCTGGGTCATTGATTCCTTTATTTACTGGGATTGCAAAACCCCCTAATCAGAACAGTGGACATTTTCACCTAAAATTTCCCAAGCAGTTTTATCTGCACCCTGAATAAGAACTTGGGATTTGCATTACATGTGATCCTTTAAACCATGTTTATTACCTATCCTTTTGCCTTCTCCTTCCCTTCTGTCCCTCACAGTGTCTGCAGACTTGGAGGAGAGGATGGAGAGCTTGGAAAAGTACAAAATCTAAAGAATTCTGCCCTCTGATTTTCTATACATGTGTGTATATATATATACACACACACACACACACACACACACACATATATATATAAATGTATATATATATTCTTTTTAAAGTTTATTTATATATGTTGAGAGAGAGAGAGAGAGAGAGCACAAGCAGGGGAGGGGCAGAGAGGGAGAGAGAATCCCAAGTGGACTCCACACTGCCAGCACGGAGCCCGATGCAGGGCTTGAACTCACAAACCGTGACCTGAGCTGAAATCAAGAATTGGACATTTAACCAACTGAGCCACCCAGGCACCCTTGCTTTCTGATTTTCTTCTCTGAGCTTAGAAATACCCACTATCTCGTTAAACCAATGTTTTCTTTAACAATGGTGAGCAAACAAAGACATGGGTGGGTTTTTTGCTACACGTAATTTGAGATGTATAAAATCAAAGCCACAGAGCAGGGTCAGTCAGCTCTCTTGCTGATTTATGAGCATTTGGAACAATAAAAAGTGATCTTACGGATTATTAGGAGGTCAGCAGGGGGTCACTAAGAATAAGTCCAAACAGACTAGACTTCCTTTCTTACTTGTTTACTTATCTTGTTGAATAGGCATGTTAAGCTGGTAGACTCAGTCAGTTGGTTAGGCAGTTGGTTAAAAAGTTTACCATCATTCATGGAAGGGCTGTGTGTCCAAAGCACTGGAAATTCAGAGTTGAATACAACAAAGTATCTACCTTCAAAAGATCTTACCTTTAAGACAACACAGCTTTGTAATACAGTTCCCAGCTCTGTGGGAACAAAGACATTCTCTGTCTTGTTATCAGGCCCAGTTCTTAAAACATAGATACCCAGTAAATAATGGTAGGTGGATAGACGGATGGATGGATGAATGTACAGATGAATGGGAGCCCAGATAGCAGCTGTTGATGAAGACTTCCTAGTGGATGGATTCTTGAAGGACAAATGTCAGGCAAATAGTTTCTGGAAGGGCAAAGCAATTACAAAGGGATCACAGGAAGGATTTTAAGCTGAGTAGTGAAACTTTTTGAGAAGTCTCTTTGGCTAGTGTAATCAAGATACTGAAAGGAACACATTTACAGTAATTCCAGAAAGAAATGATGAGGACCTTAACTGAGACATTGGCTGTGGGGATGAGCATAAGTAAATGGATTTGAGATACTACAGCATTGGAAGCAACAGGACTTGACAACCAAGGGCAGTAAGGAAAGTACAGGGGAAGTTAGATTGATATTTAGGGTTTGGCTTGGGCATTGGGCTAGAGAGAGGTGCCAGGCTAAGAAATAAGGAATGCAAGAGGAGGGATAAGCTAGTGGGTGAAGATGACCACTTCAGTTTGGGACACACCCAAGTTTGTGCCTTTGGGAAATCAAGGTGAAAGTCTCCATAGATGCTATGAACCTAGAGCTCAGAAGAAAAACTGCAGTGGGGGGCGAGGTGGGTATCTAGTGTAATTCCAGCCTTGGAAATAAATACCATCACCCAAAAAGTAACAAAATGTAAATGTTTAAGGGCTAGCAGAACAAAAATGGAGAAATAGAGGCAGTGAATGAGGAATGGAGGCCAGAAAGAATTGGTGTCAGATACATCGAAGAAGAGAGTTTCAAGGAAGGTGTGAACCAAACCACCAAATACAGTTGAGAGGTCAATCAACATAAAGGGCAAAAGGTGCTCTCTAGGTTTGGCAACCAAGAGATCATGGGTATTCTTTGCCAAAGCAGTTTTCATCAGAAGGAGTGGAACAGAAACCAAAGTACAATGAGCTAGATCATGAATGGGAGATGAGGAAGTGGACAAGGGTAGACAACTTACCTGGGGTGGCGTGAAGCCAGGTCCTGGAGAGAGGGGAGACTTCACTGTCATTGCAAACCCTACTGTGCATTTTTATCATAAAACACATGCACACTTCTTTTCACAAGCATATGTGTAACAGCGATTAAGTGCCCAGCTTTGTGGGGAGCCTGGGTGGCTCAGTTCATTAAGTGTTCAACTCTTGATTTCAGTTCAGGTCATGATCTCATGGTTCGTAAGTTTAAGTCCCATGTCAGACTCTGTGCTGACATTGTGGAGCCTGCTTGGGATTATGTCTCTCTCTCCCTCTTTCTCTGCCCCTACCCTGCCATACGTGTGTCTCTCTCTCAAAAATAAATAAAAACTAAAACAAAACAAAACAAAAAACTGTCCAGCTTTGCACTTTAGTTGCCTAGTCTCAATGTTTCAGTTACTTCATCTGTGAAATGAGGATGATAATAATAATATTACTTTATAGGCCAGTGAGAATTCAACAAGTTGATTCATGTGAAATACTTGAAACAGTGCTTCATATGTAGGAAGTGCTCTAAAAATGTCAGCTATTACTGTACTTTTTTTTTTTTAAGAAAAAAGGTATGAAGGGAAGGAAACATAAGTTTGGAGCAAAAAGAGACGTTAGAATGGTTTTTCTTGTTTTTAGTGACACTTTCCTTCTTTATGAGATGTTGATCTCTTCCATCTGTATAGAAAGAGTACTCATTACTTGCCACTTGTGTTGGAAATATCTTTCCTGGTTTGTGCTTGCCTTTTAATTCTCTTTATCTACTGTTTCACATGCAAACACAACAAATGTTTACATAGTCAAAATCTTTGTTTTCTTCATTGGTCATTATGTTTATTGAGGATTTTCCCTCTTTGAGATCAGATACTGAGCTGAGTTACCTTCTAGTTATTTTATTATTTCATTTGATGCTTTAACCCACTAGAATGTTTTTTCTGTAGGATGTAAGTAGAGATAGAATTCACTACTTCCTCCAAAGAGATAACGGTAGTCCTAACTTCATATATTGAGTAATTATTTTTTTCTCCATTGATTAAAAGTATAAACTTGCTACACAAAAATAAATTTTAGAATCTATTACAGTATAAAAACTGAACAAAAGCAAAAAGAAAGTTAAACCATACTTAATTCCATGTAGGGTATCATACTGCCACTTGGGCTTTTCTCTGGCACAGTTCATACCTTTAAAGAGATGAGCTGAGGGCTCCTGTGCAGATGCCTGCCTCCCCCAGGATTCTAAGAAAGAAGCATAAAAGGTCTGGTTTGATAAAAATGGGCCGTTGCCCACACATATATTCACGTACACTTAATCATGCCTACATGCCAACCTGGGCTCTGTGGACAGCTCAGCAGGACCCAGAGTCTTGAAGAAACATCAGCCCAGAAAGCCTCCTACTTCAGGAAGCTCAGGGGGTGGCATTGAGTTGAGGTGCCCTTGAGGGAAGCCACTGTTAGCATCTATGTACCCCAGGGCCTGCCCACCCACCCCCGACATGTCCTAGAGGCTCTGAATCTGTTAGCCACCCAAGTTATTTGGAGGAATGAAGTGAGTCTGTTTCTTTTGTACTGACACAGAAAGATGCCCACTCTTTGTTGTTAGTGAGAAGGGGAGATTGCAGGGCACAGGGAATGTGTGAGTGTATGTCTGCCTGTCTGCCTGTCTGTCTGTATACCTGAGCTCAGCTCTGCTCCTCTCCTAGAGAAGAGAGGAGACCAGCCCATCACTTTCCCCTCTGTGCTTCTGTTGTTTAAATGTTTTAAAATGGGCACTGTTAATTGCCCTTGAGGTACCTGTAGCTAATTGAGGGAGACTAATGGTCAGCAAGCAGATGGGTTACAATACAAAGAGTTTATTGCTACTGTGTTTTCTACCTATGTCAAACTTCTTGATTCTTCCCTCCTCCACCCCCAGTTATCTTTCTATCTGACTACTCTTAAAAGAGAAAAGATTTTTTTACCCTCTCACAAATTTGCGATCCATTTCCCCTTTTCTCCCGCTCCCAGTAAACGAACAAACAAACAAGAAACCTGGCTATAAGCTGGTTGCAATTTATATTCAATTATCATTTCCCCTTGGGAGACATTATCTTTTTTTTTTAATGGGCTTGTCTGGATTGTTTATTTGCAGTGATAAATATTAAGCTAGAGCCAAACTTAGTAAGGCACAAGAAGACATAATTTAATGAAGTTTTTGAACCGAGAGTTATAATTCTCTTACCTCCTCGGACCAGGGTATCATTCTACTCTCTTGGGCATTCCTTGGCTCTCTCTAAGAAAGTCAGTTTTTCCAAGTCAACTTCTGGGACTAGAAGACAAGAAGGTAGGAAATGGGTCCCTCACTGGGAGGAGAATCCCGTGTAGCACACAGTCCTTGCTTGTCTCCCTCCACCCCCAACCTCCTGCGCCCTCCCAGTGGATTCTCCAATGGCTCACTACCATTTTGAAAACCAAATCCAAATCCCGATTTCCCAGCATGGCATAGGAGGCTGCCATGGGTTGACCTTGGCCGCTCTCTCTGGTTTCATCTTTCTTGTGCTGCATTCCAGCCACCTTGCCCTTGCCCTACCCCCTCCCAAAAGACTTACTGCTTCTTCTGCCTTATCCCCCCTCTCCCACTTCGTAGCAAATCCAGCTCTTTCTTGCCATTCCTTGTTGAGCCAACAGGTCCCTTTCTTGAGGACATCTTCCCCAATCACTCTTGGAAAGACTGTACCCTTCCTTCCCAAGCCCTCCAGTCTCTCTTCCCAGTTTCACTGATCACTAGCCACAATTGTCCAAAGTTATATTAAGCATTTATTCCTTTTGACCATCTGTCTACCCCACTAGGAAGTAAGTTCTGTGAGGGCAGGGAGTACGTCTACTTTGATCATTGTTGAGCCGCAGGGCCTAGAATAGTCCCAGGCACCTAGTGGATGCTCAATAAGTATTTACTAAATGAATGACTACATGCTCGCTCAGCCCCCAGGGGTGCCCCTGTCTGGGTCCTGGGGCAGGGTAGGGCTGAATGTGTGCTATTGTGATTGCAGACGGAGTCCTTCAAGCTGAGCGAACCCTACAGCCAGTGCACAGAGGATGGAAGTGACGTGCCAATCAGTAATATCTACAATGCTGCATACTCCCTCCAGGTATGGGCGGGAGAGGGCACTCAGCCCTGGGTTGTGGCCGGACACAGGAGACAGTTATATATATCTAGGGTGTGTCTCAGACCAGAAACTCTAGTGATAATTCCTGGGGTTCATCCAAAGATCTCAAGAACAAATGATGCCAGCTGGATCTAGTTCTCTTCAGTCCGTCTGTAACCAGAGCTGAATTGATTGCTTGAGATTTGCATGGAACACAATGTACAGATGAGACAGGCCTGCTTCCTAAATAAGCCTTGGCAGGTGAGGGGCAGGAGAGACACGGTCTGGGAGAGGCATTGGCTGAGGGGGTAAGAAACCTGGCCTATGGGCCCACTCATGCCCCTCACTCGCTGATGCCCTTGGGCAAGTGATACCATCCTCAGCAATCACAGGGGGAGGTTGGATTGGATCTGGGGTGCTTAACTGGCAGCTCCCAGGCCCCTTCCAGGCTGCACACCTAGATTTTCCAGCCTGGATGGTGTTTAGAAGTCAGGGAATTTCATCAGAAAACCTGGATTCTCAGCTTCTCATGAAAAACAAGATCTGGCTGCATTGGGCCCATATTCCTGCTGTGTAAGCAGTGGGTAGAGTTGCCCCATTAAAGAAGATGTGTGTTCTCATTCCCCCATGGTCCCCACCAGCCCCTACTGTATTACATGTATCAATGGTTCCCATGAGAATTTGAGTTTTCAACCCTCTAGTGCGATCATCTGTTCTGCCTTCTTACGTTCTGAAAGTCTGCCATTCCTCCTACTGGGATGCTCAGAGTTCATGAAAATCAATCCAGTAGAATAAAAAGAGAAGGTGTTCCTGCATACTGGGTCCTCTAGCTTACATCAGAGCTGAGCTGAGAGGTGGTAGGGATGCTAAGTGAAAAGATACTATTAGAAAATGTCTGCTTATAGTAGAAATACAGTCAAACTGAATTTAAGACAGAAAAAGAAAAGAATTGTAAGGAAAGGAAAGGAAAGGAAAAGAAAGGAAAGTTCAGCTCATTGGAAAGACACTCTTGGATAATATTTAGGGAGACGCTACCATGTGCTAGCACTTTACATATATCAATTCATTTCCTGCTCACAACAACCTCGTGAAGTTGGTATTGTTTTACTTATTTTAACAGTGAAGAAAACAGAGCATCAGAGAAGTTAAGGAACTTGCCTGTGGTCACACAGCTGGGACATGGCGAATGTGGGATTTGAGCTGGAGTAGCCTACCTTCAGAGCCTTTGCCATGAGCTTTTATGCTATAAGCTTTGTGGATATTGTGGTAGCTTAGGATCCCCAAGTATCCTCAAAAGTGGAGGGATGGGGCCTGAGAACAGAAAAGTTGGGTACTGTGTTTCTCTCTGTTTCTCGGCATCCCCTACTCACATGATTGGAAAGGGGCCATCCCCAGCCGCAGCTCCAGCTCAGCCTGTTGCCCCATCTCAGTTCACCAGAATTCTCAATAACTGCTCTACCCTGGTGCCTTTGGAGTCAGGCCGGCCCTGGCCCAGTCTGCTGTGACACAAGGGGCACATTAATGCAGTCTGCCAAGGCTGTGGGAAGCTGACCCTCTGGATGAGGGAAATGTAGGGAGGGAGCTCTCTGGCATCCACATGCAAGGAGATTAGAATCCCTGGGTTTCGTCTTTCAGATCTGCCTTCACTCGTGCTTCCAAACAAAGATGGTGGAGAAATGTGGGTGTGCCCAGTATAACCAGCCGCGACCTCCAGCAGCCAACTACTGCAACTACCAGCAGCACCCCAACTGGAGTGAGTGAGACCCACCCCGGGGGGCGGAGTCGGCCCAGCCCCAGCCCCAGCCCCAGCCTGTGCTTTGGCCTTTTGTGGGAGGGAGATATTAAGCAAGAATTTTACTCCTGTCCCCAAGCCTGGCTTGAATTCTACTTTCCGATTAGGACCAAATGCTGTACCCCAGCCTGTGCTAAGAGGTTGGCCATCTCTATCAACTCCAAGAAACAGGAACTATTTCACAGAACAGATAACTGAGGCTCAGAATGGTTAAGCAACTTCTCCAAGGTCACACAGCCCTAGGGTAACAGAGCTAGAGTCAAAGCAAGGGCTGCTGACCCCCCCAACATAAACCCTTAACCTCCACAGTATTCTGTCTCTCAACATAACAAGGCAGCATTTGTTTCCAGAGAAACAGTGTTTGTAGAAAATGGGAGCAGAGGGGCGCCTGGGTGGCTCTGTCGGTTAAGCGTCCGATTTTGGCTTAGGTCAGGATCTCAGGGTTCATGGGTTCGAAACCCATGTCAGGGTCTGTGCTGACAGCTCAGAGCCTGGAGCCTGCTTCAGATTCTGTGTCTCCCTCTCTCTCTGCCCCTCCCCTGCTCGCACTCTGTCTCTCTCAAAAATAAATAAACGTTTAAAAAAAATTAGCAAATGGGAACAGAAATCATGAAAAGGAATCCTGCAGAGGCACCATTGGTGACTCTCAGGAAGGGTGCTGTGGCCCCGCAACTCACACTGCCCTCTGCCCTTTCCGTCAGTGTATTGCTACTACCAGCTGCATCAGGCTTTTGTCCGGGAGGAGCTGGGCTGCCAGTCGGTGTGCCGGGAAGCCTGCAGGTGAGTGGGCTGGAAGGATGGAACCCGAGGGGCTGGGCCAGGCCGGGCCAGCCATACTCATTCCGTGCCCTTCTCCCCTTAGCTTTAAAGAGTGGACACTGACCACCAGTCTGGCACAGTGGCCTTCCGCGGTTTCCGAGGTAAGTTATTCTTCCCTGTCTTTCCCCTCACATCCTCATCCTGGACCCCAATGTCCTGCCCTCTGGCCTCAGGGGAGATGCACAGGGGAGGCCAGGTCAGGGGGCTGAGGCTGAGAGGGGAGGCACATGGGCTGGCTCTGGCCTCTCTGGGCCTCCCCAGGTCACTCCTTTCTCCATCACAGAAATGGTTGCTGCCCGTTCTCACTTGGGACCAAGGCCAGCAAATAAAGAAAAAACTCAACAAGTAAGCAGACCCCTGCCCTGTTTCCTCTGCCTCCACTGGACCCAGGTCTCAGCCTCCTTACTTGCTTCCTCACTGCCAAACCTTCTTTTTTTCATCTACTCATTCCTTTATTGAACAAATATTGATCAAGCTTGTGTCAGGAGCCAGGCCCCACTCTAGTCCTGGGGCTTTCAAATATTTTGACTGTGACCCACGTTATGAAAATAGTTTTCCATTGTGGCCCATTGAATAGATAAATGAGATAAAAGTCTCATGTAACAGCACTTCCTTATGGTGTACAAAGCATTTGGGCTGATTTTCAGATTGTGTAAACTGGTATAGCCAAACCAACTGTTTACATCCATTCTAACAATCATGGCGCCATTCTCAGTGATTAGTGCCCATATCAATTGACAGTGGGTTTGAACATCTCTGTGGCTGCAATGTGATATTTCCTATTCTGTTTCCCTTTATCAAAAGTTTTTGGTCATGGCCTAGGAAATTTATTTCATGGCTTCCTGACGTATCTTGACCTCCTTGGAATAATAGTCCACTGAGCTGCTTCTAATCCCACTTAAACTTTCCACATCAAAATTCACTTCCAAGGGAGCTTCAGCAAAAATCAGCCAGGCCAGAGTTCAGGGACCTCAGGGGATGGAGATGAAGGTGGGAGAAGATGGGGGAATTACCACGTGACCTCACATCTTTCTGGGCCCTTACCATCTCCACAGTGGAGGTTAGTCAAGCCTCCAACATTTATTGCATATCCACTAGATACCAGGTGCTCTATGTGGTGCTGGGGGTACCATGATGACTGAACAGACATGATCCCTGCCCCCAAGGTGCTGATAGTCTAGTCATAAAGGTAGACTTTGACCGAGCAATTGCAAACTCTTAAAGCAAGCATTGCAAGCCAGTGACCCCTACACCAAATCTAGCCCTGCAAAAGCAACCCATTACTTCCAGCTTACCTTGAAAGATCAGAAGTTTTGGAAATAATAAACCTCCATGCTTGTGTCGCACTAAAGAGCTAAGTCATAGTTGCCCCTTTGGAATAAGCGTGGACTTGCCAACTTGCCACAGTTTCATGCAGCGGCTAACAGCACGGACTTTGAAGCCAGATTTCTCTAGGTCTGAATACTGGATCTGCCATTTGTGAGCAGTGTGGTCTTGGGCAGGTTACTTAACCAATCCATGTCTTAGTTTCCACATCTGTAAAATGGGGATGATTAAAACATAGCGACATAGGGTTGTCGTGAGCATTCAGCAAGTTAATTCACATAAGGCACCTGGAACGGTGCTTGGCAACACAGGAAGTGTCCAATAAATGCTGGCTGTTATTATGGTCATTATCATTATTACGTTATGCCCAGCCTACCTCATTCATTCACATTACCTGCATGTCTCTTGTGCATATTTGAGATTGCAATCAAAGAATTGCAATATCAGAGCTTAATGAAGAACAGTGTGCTATGGGAATATATGGCTGGGTGGACTAACTTGGTCTGGTTGGGAAATAATTTTTGAGTGAATGAAAGGTCTAACCAACCAGGCCCAGGCTGGAGATGTGCTCTAGGGTGCAGAAGGAGCCTCAGGAGCCAGGTTCTAAGATTACCCTGGAGCTCAGAGCCTAGGCTGTGCTGGAGGCTAGGAAGGAGGGAGACAGCTGTGCTGAAGGGCTGGTCATCTGGTAGACACAAAGGCACCTGACTCACCTGGGCCCTGCCTGTTGCAATTTCTGCAGGACGGATTTGGCTAAACTCTTGATATTCTACAAAGACCTGAACCAGAGATCCATCATGGAGAGCCCTGCCAACAGCGTGAGTGGCTTCCTTCTGGGACCTGCCCAGGGTCTGCAAATGTGCCCATCTGCCTCGCCTCAGGGAACAGAGTTAAATGCTAGGGATCCAGCTGAGCTAGCAGGGCCACCATAGGCCAGCCAGGACTTGGTTCAGATAAGGCAGAGGAAGAGGGGGGACAGGAAGCCTGCCCACTTCCTCTTCCAAATCCATTCAGGGCCAGGACTTGCCAGGGGCTCTCTTGGGAATTGGGGTCCCTAGTTGGACGGAGGGGCCCTCTTAATGGTATAGCTTGACTTCCCTTGCAGATCGAAATGCTTCTGTCCAACTTCGGTGGCCAGTTGGGCCTGTGGATGAGCTGCTCTGTTGTCTGCGTCATTGAGATCATCGAGGTCTTCTTCATTGACTCCTTCTCCATCATTGCCCGCCACCAGTGGCAGAAAGCCAAGGAATGGTGGGCCCGGAGGCATGCTCCTCCCGACCCTCAGGGCCAGGACAACCCAGGCCTTGATATAGATGATGACCTGCCCACTTTCACCTCGGCACTGCGCCTGCCTCCAGCCCCAGGGACCGAGGTGCCTGGCACACCGCCTCCCAGATACAACACCTTGCGTTTGGAGAGGGCCTTCTCTAACCAGCTCACGGACACCCAGATGCCAGCAGAGTCCTGAGGCGGGAAGGGGAAGAGAGGTATAGCTAGGACCCCCAGCCACGGTCTGAGAACTCAGACCCTGTCTCCTGCACACAGAGGGGACCCTGGGTACCCCCTCTGACTGGGCTTTTCAGAGACATTGACTAAAAATCTGCTTTGAACAACAACACGGGGCCTGGATGCGTGCAGGGGACCCCTTGGGCCCTGCCCAGCAACCCTGAGGCATCCAGGATGAGAAAGATCCGGGAGCCCAAACCCCTCACACATCTGCTACGGAGAGAGATGGAAGCCGAAGAAATGGCGCCCGCCTGGACGAAGGCCAGAAGTGAAGGCTGACGGAGCTTTCACTAGGTCTTGAGAGAGACAGACTCCTCCGAAGCCCAGGGTTTCACCTGCTACCCCAGCCTGGGCTGGGGCCCAAGGACGCGTCCTTAGGTATCAAGGCCAGATAGCCACTGCCTAGTGCCAAAGCCAGGAGGAAGCACTGGCCCTGGAGCTGGTGCTGTTTGTGAATAAACTGTTCTTAGTCGTTGACATTGGGCCAAGGTCTTCTCTGTGCCCTCAGGCAGGGAGCTGGCCCAAGGTCCTTGGAGTGTAGTAGGGAGAGTGCAATGGGATGAGGAGGTCTGGAGGTGTGACTGGAGCGGGGGGGGGGGGGGGGGGGGGGGGGGGGGGGGGGGGGGGGGGGGGGGGGGGGGGGGGGGGGGGGGGGGGGGGGGGGGGGGGGGGGGGGGGCTGTGTTCTGGGCAGCCAAGCCAGTGCCCTGGCCCCCTTACCTAAGCACAGAAAGGCTCCTTCAAGGGCCTTGCTGGATGAACACCCCTGTCTAGTGGTGGCCCAAGGTGTAAAGGATCATCTGATAACTCACCTCAGCTTCTCTCCCTCCCAGGCAGACCCCCTCTCCCCACATGGCCTGCCCCCCGCCCCCACCCAGTAAGCTGGTCACACCTGTCAATGTGATAATACCTAACATGTATTAAGCACACAGTAGATGTCCAATGTTAGCTCAGCAACAGTGTGCTGTTCTAAGCACTTAGAGATGAGCAGCTGTAACCCACAGGCCAAATCCTGTTTGTGTTCATGACCTAGGAATGTTTTTTATTTCACTTTTAAAGGATTAAAAATATCAGAAGAAGACTGTTTTGTGACTCATGAAAATGATAGAAGATTCCATTTTCAGTGTCCATAAATAAAGTTTTATTGGAACACAGCCACGCCCATGTATTTGCATATTGTCTGTGCCAGCCACCAGCCAGCTGGAGTTGAGTAGTTGCAACAGAGATCCTAGGTTTGCAAAGTGTAAAATATTTATCCTCTGGCCCTTCACAGAGAAAAATCTGCCATCCCTGGAGTAGCACATTAAGGAGGTCTGATTATCCCATTGTATGGATGAAGAAACTGAGGCAAAGAAAGGCTAAGTGACTCACCACAAGTGACACAGCTAGGAAGTTGCCGAGCTGGGATTTGAACCCTGGCTGTTGGACTCCAAAGCCTGTGCACTTTATCACTCCACCATTTTGCATCCAATCAGCATCTGTGCCTTATCTTTTAATGTTTATTTATTTTTGAGAGAGAGAGAGAGAGAAAGGCAGAGCATGAATGGGTGAGGGACAGAGAGGGAGACACAGAATCTGAAACAGGCTCCAGGCTCTGAGCTGTCAGCACAGAGCCCAATGCAACCCTCGAAATCACAAACCGTGAGATCATGACCTGAGACAAAGTCAGATGCTTAACTGCTTAACTGACTGAGCCACCCAGGTGCTCCAGCGTTTGTGCCTTTTAAAGGTGAGTCTCATGTCCGTTCAGGTAGAAAGAGGGAAGGCTCAATATCTGGCTCTAGTGCAGAAGTAGGTCTTTCATCCATGAGCGCAGAGAGGCGTGCATTTCAGGACTGCTTCTCGCACCAAGACAGTTGCTAGTGGAGGTGAGAGAGCAGGGGCTGTGGGCCCCCTCCCTGGGCCCTAGCGGACTCCTGGTCTCACCTGACTCCAGGCCAGTGGCTGCAGCAGCCCTCTCTGCCCCATTCAGTGGTTGCACTGGACCTCTCTGGGCCGGGTGCTGTAAAGAGGCACGGCAGCCAGCAGGGAGGAGGTCACTGTGACCCCAGGCCGGCTGGAGCTCCCCTGAGGTGTGCGTTCTGAAGCCAGGGCTGATGCAGACAAGCATCGGGTTACAGAGGGTGCAAGCCTGGCTCCTGTCCATGCTGGGCTGGGGTGGCCGCAGCCAGCGCTGACAGGTACCTTGTGGCGCACGGCTGCCCAGGCGTTGCCCAGACAGAGCTTCCTCCTCCTCCTCCAAGGCAGGAGGGGTGCGGACCATGTCCTCAGATGCATAGAATTGACCGGCCTCAGCATGATGTCACAGGCAGGAAGACTCCCAGCAAAACTGGAGTTGCTGCTGGCTTTGCCAAAGGTGAAGACAAGAGCATCTGGAGTCAGCAGCCACCCATTTCTCCCCTCTCCCCGCAGCCCCCTCCCTCCACAGCACAGCTCGCACACTATGGCTCCATGCGTCTCCTTCCTGCCTAGCGCCCAACCTCAGGGCTTGTGTGCCTGCGATGCCAAGTGCTGCCTTCTCTCTTCCCTGCTCACCCTCTCGGGCAAGGTACAAATGTCACCACCTCTGTGAAGTCTTCCCACACCCTCCCTTTCCCACCCCCTGGAAGTTGGAGCTCCCTCCGTTATAGAATTTTCATCCCCTGATATCATTTTTATCCATTTGTCTCTCTCACTAAACAGTGAACTCTCCAAAGGCAGGATGTCTTATCTCCTTGTCGGTGGATGGGGATGGGACTGAGTACAGTGATGGCATTTAGGAAAAGTGTATGGAGCCAATAAAAACAATAACAATCATAATAGTGGCTAATATTTATCGAGCACCTATTCTTTGCCAGGAATTCTGCTAAGCACTTCATGTGCAGTGTAGGTAATCTTGCCAATAAGAAAACTGAGGCGCAGAATTCTCCTGCTGGCCCCACCACTAGTAACTGAGAGGCCGGGGCCCGCCCCCAGAGCTTTCATGCTTATCGTGCTTATCACTGGGTGCACTGCCTTTCGGGTGGAAGCTTTACCCCAGAGGCCAAGTTCACTTCCCCCGAGGAAGCCCCTGCCGGTTCTCTCTGGCCTCTGGCCCAGCCTGCTCAGCTGAAGGGCCCTCTCATGCCAGGACGAATGTGAGGCTGGGGAAGAACCACTTCATTCCCAGACCCCTTTGATAAGCAGTCACCGTGGCCAGGAGTTACTGACTCCAAGGGACAATGAGTCTATTTGCAGGTCGCAGGAATGCTTGTTCTTGATTTGCCCTTGTTCTCAAACTGTCCCCCTCATTGCTCTTCTGACCTCCCTTCTGGGCCCCCGGAGTTCCAGACCCAAGTGTCCCACAGCCCCACAGAACATCTCCCTGATGACAGAGACACCTCAAAGTCAGCAGCCTGCACCTCAAAGAGAGAGTGGAAAAAGACCCCCACCTCTGTTGGGGTTGCAAACTGAGTATAGAGGCCTGGGCCGGACACAGACAGTGGGGTCTTCATCAAGGATATGGATTACATCAAAGAAGGAAGAGCTGAAGCATGGGAAGGAGCTCTGGGCGGCTCAGTCGGTTAAGCGTCCGACTTCGGCTCAGGTCATGATCTCACAGTTTGTGGTGTGAGCCCCGCATCGGGCTCTGTGCTGACAGCTCAGAGCCTGGAGCCTGCTTCAGATTCTGTGTCTCCCTCTCTTCCTGCCATTTCCTTGCTCTCTCTCTCTCTCTCTCTCTCTCAAAAAGAAACATTAAACAGAAGAAGGAGGAGAAGAAGAAGAAGCCTGGAGCTCCTCCTCACAGATCTTTCTGTCTCCCAGCTCTCCTGCCTCCCAGCCCTATTCCAGGCTAAACCAGAAGGATATCTCCAAAGGGCAGGCTGGACGATGGTACTTCCTGTTTAGAAGCTTCTGGCAGCTCCTCATCACCTTGGCTACACTTCTCAAGTCACAGGACTTAGCCTATGATGCGGACTTCAGGTTGGCATACAAACTCAACGGCTATGCCACGTGCTGCCCTCTCTCTGTCTCCACTCACCTTCCCAGACCAGGTACAAATATCCTCATCTCTGTAGAGTCTTCCCTGACTGTCCTCTCTGGCCTGGCCAATGGAAGCGTTAAATATCATGGACTGACGGAATAAGGAAACCATTCCACTTTCCGATGTGCAAAGACACTGAGTTCTAGTTTGGTGCTCATGGCTGTCTAATGCTCTGCTGCACATGCCAAACTCTCTTGCTTAACAGAGAGAGAGCTGCCTCAGAGCCTGCAGCCCCGACTTTAATGGCTCCATGGTGTTTACACTGCCTTTGTTTTCTGTTACCTTCTACTCAGTACAAGCAATACTGGTGTCTCCTTCGGTCACTGGTTCAGCAAGTGTTCATTCATTCAACAACTGTTTATCGAGCACTGCAGTAGTTTCTGGTGGATACGATAGCAAACCACCACAGAGTCAGTGGCTTAAAACCACAAAAACTTATTCCCTTACAGTTCCGGAAGCCAAGACTTGAAAAGAGTCTTATGGGACAAAAATCAAGGTGTCAACAGGCTTATGCCCCCTCCAAATGCTCTAGGGAAGTCTTCCTTTTCTTTATGAGCTTCTAAAACTACATTCCTTGGCTCCTGCCTCCTATTTCATCTTCAAAGACAGCAGACTAGTATCTTGCTTCAGTTGTTACACTGATTTCTTCGGAGGCACCCAAATCTCCTTTTTATAAGGACCCTAATTACATGTAGGGTGCACCCAGGTATCCTAGGATGATCTCCCCTGTCTCAAGATCCTTAACTTAATCCCATCTGCAAGGACTCCATTTGTGCCCTTAAGAAGGTAAGTTCCACAGCTTCCAGAGACCAGGACGTGGTTATTTTGTCCATCAGCAGACAAGTACTGATGAGTGGAGGGGCTGGGGATGCATCTGTGAGTCAAGCAAACCCCTGCCCTAGTGCAACTTACACACTTCTAGGGTGGAGGTAGATTAAAAAAAATAATGATCAATAAAAG